TTGTCTTTTTTTTTTAGAGTCAGGAGAGTAAAGAAGAACATATAGTTTTGAACCTAGATTAAACAGTTTGTTTTAATACATTTGTATTGTATGTCTAACAGAAAAAATCCAAAACTTCAAATGTATTGAGATTAGATAAAATGCAGAATTATTCTTAGCAATTCACTGACTACATAAAAAAAAAAACACAACTTTTGCAACAAGTGAATTACAGTGATGCAGCAATGCATATTTACTTTAATTCATGAACTGTCACTAATTGCATTTAGGGTGATGGTGTTAAATCAACATGTCTTGACACACACAAGAAAGCCTCGTTAATTAAATATGAAAGTATTTGCTTGCATGGAGAGATAATGAGGAAGGTGCTTTAGTAGCAGGATATATAGTTTGCGCAGAGCTGTGTTGGAAACTGCCCTGAAACCATGATTATACAAGAACAGCTTGTCTCTCCGATTCTCACTGCTGGCGTATCACTACTGGAACATTAATAGTACAACCCATGTTTACCTATTTCTGTTTTCATTTGTACACACAATGCCTCACTGTACCAGACATTTTATTTTATCGTTCCTTTTCATTTTTCTCATTGTTTCTGGCTGCACCTCTCATACATAAATCTAAAGAGTGATTAATGGAGACATAAGAGCCCAGACCTGATAGTTGGGTTTGTTCTGGGGTTTGGGGTTAAAGAGGATTCCCTCAGGGCTAGTGTCACTGTTTATTTAGTGGAGGAGTCTTTGCCAGCTTGTAGGGTGAGAGTGTGAGAATATGGGTGTGTAAGTGTTTACTAAGTTATGATCTGTCTGTGTATGTCAGTGTTCATGTCCCTGTCAAAGCATAGAAATGAAACAGCTTAGACCCTTTGTGATGCTTTCAAGAGGCAGATCCTGTAGCGGTTCCACTGACAGTAAATAGGACATTTTGTGGACACAATGACAGCAACCTGGTAATTTTTTTCATGTGTGTTTTTTTTGGTTCGTGACTGTCAATTATTATAAAATAAAGCGCCTTTGGGTGTAACAGCCAAATATTTTATGAATCCACACAGCCACTCATTGGGAACAGGCTTCTCCAAATTCTGTTTCCTGATTACAAAACAGGTTAGAGCTCCAATTTTTCAGATTTCTGTCTCTGGGAAGAGTGTTCCTCTTGCTCACAAATAGTGATTGAACTATCAAAGATCATAGAAATAACCTACATGGATTCTATTTCAGGGTAAAAACTTAGATGTTTTCCAGGGTTGTACCTGCCACTAGTTACTAGGCATAACCAGAGGGAGAAAGACAGCATGCAGGGAGTAGGAGAAAGACAGATAATTCAAGAGACAGATGAAAGTATATAGATGATGGAGTGTAGATACTGGTACAGACATTTATTTTCCTTACCCCTTCCCTCCTCTCCCACCTCTCCCTCCCACCCGTATTCCCTCAGTTCTTTGCCTAATAAGCAGCGTTCCTGTGAGCTGATGCAAGGCGGAGGAAACAGAACAGGCGTTCTGGGACTGCTGGAAATATTCCCACATGAGGCATAACATGATAAAGACTTATTATCTCACTAAGCTGCTGTAAACACAGATGCACACATAAATACACACTGTACACAACTCTCTCTCTCTCTCTCTCTCTCTCTCTCTCTCTCTCTCTCTCTCTCACACACACACACACACACACACACACACACACAAGTGAAAGTGGTCCGGCTTTATGGTTCTGACGAGCTGTGACCAGGAGGAATCTGACAGAGCCAATCCCTCCAACAAAGCCTGAGAGTCAGCAGTTGTGAGCCAGCTCACCGGGCATTTGGCCTCGGCTTGTTTGAACTCCACACACCCAGAGCAGTGGGAAGAAACCAGAGGGAGAGTTCTGATTATTATTAGTGCTCAATTTTTTGGGAACATCTGAACAAGCTGACATGTCGAAACAGGACTCATCCCAGCTCCTCTCCACTCATCAATCACACCAGACGCACACATAAACACAGGCACCTAGCGCTTGCTGTTAGCTAATCCATTACAGTACAAAGGTAGGTGTCAGCCTCTTAGACAAACACACTCACGTATACACCAGAGTCATCAGAAACATGTTGAGTCCCATTTTCCCTCTTCTCTTCTCCATCCCAATTAGAAGGCAAAGGAGGCCTTTTATTTCCCTCTCCTCAAAACGCATTCTTTATCTCTCTGATCTGCGCTCCTCCCTCCCTCGCTTCGTCCCCTCGGGGTAGTGGGAATGTCTCTCCTAACGCACTCTCAGGTCAGGGGTTCAGGTGGAGGGGGCCTGAGCATGTAGAGCGAGCTAGAGAGAGAGACACAGAAAGAGTGAGTAGCGGGTTGAGGCAGGCCTCTGCACGGGCAGCTCCTCTTCGCTGCCAGAAACACTTAAACTTAAAGCAGTGTGTGTGTATGTGTATCATAGCCCTAATCAGAGACTTCAGGCTAGATTTATGCCCCTGCCTTTTTCCCGACCTCCATTACACCAGCTTATATACACCCATTACAGGATATGACAGAGTACACACCCTTTAGACGAGCATACCACACCGCTTGTGTGTCTGTGTGTGTGAAAGAGAGGGCATGCGCTCACTTCTTCACAAACTCCCCACCGTGCCATTTGGTCCTTGTCCACCTGTGAGCTCTATCTCTCTGTCTGTCTTTATCTCTCTTCCCCTCATTGCTAATAAGGTCAATGAGGAAGAGTAAGAGGCAGATGGGCGTACAGTACATTACAGCACAAACGCAGTATAGTGTGGGCTAGATAGCAGGCCGGTGATTCATGCTTAGTGAGACGTGTGATGATGTGAGGAGTTTCTACTGCACTGCAAAGTCACTGGGGCTGTGCAGCGGGATCTGTTGATCACTCAGCACTATGCCTTGCTTCACAATATTACCTCAGGGAGCAGTTTGACCTAGCAGGGGTCTGGACGAAGGCGGGAGGAGATGGAAGGAGGGAGAATGAAGAAGGGAGAAAGGGAGAATGAAGAAGGGAGAAAGTGTAAGGAAGAGGAATGAGGTTGGAGATTAAGTGACTAGCTTTAAATGTCACAATAATGCTCTACTTCTCAGTCTTAACTTCATAGCCGGATGGGTGCCAGGAGGGAGACAAAGGAGAGTCAATGGGGAGGAAAAATACAGCGGTGTGATTTGTGGTTTTCACACGCATGCTTTGTGTTAAGGGAGAACTCTTACACTGGTGAAATTTGTCTTTTAATTCAACCAAATTTAAAATAACAATACATTTGACCACCAGTCTGACCTCAAGCTCCATTTTGTGTGTTTACAAGTTCAAGTATTTAAAAAGTACCAGTTTTGTAATTTACCCTCAGTGGTATTAAGCTATACAGATTCCTTTTTTATTTTTATGTGCCCAGGCCTTGAGAAATCTGCCTTACACGTCTTACGCTATCTCAGTACAATGATAGGGAATGGAATTTTGTTTGTGTGGCTCAAAGAATTGAAAAATGTTATTTCAAAAACTCAACAGCATTGTGTCTTTCCAGAAAACACATTTCTTAACATAGACCTCATTTATTTCAGAGTAACCTGGGGATTTTTTTCTGAAAAAACAATTTGCTGTAGAATTTTTTAATTGTGTTTTTTTTTTAATGTATTGAGTAGCACTAAGCAAAAATCTTTTCATCTCCATTGAGGCAACAGCAGAAAATTCAGTAGCAGGTGTCTCAAAAACCTTGGGAAAAAAACCCAAACTATCTGCATGGGTGGACACCACTTGTGAAAAAAATATGTTTTTTTTGGATTTTGGTGAACTGACCCTTTCTCTAGCACACCCACCAGCCCGTCCACCTGCACACACTTATATCCCACACACACAAACATGCTCAGGTCCCTGTCCCTCAGCAAGCATCTGCCAGCATTCCATTAACAGAGCCACCAGCGCTCTCTCCCACCCTCACCTGCTGTCAGTAAAAGATATATGCACACACACACACACACACACACACACACACACACACACACACACACACACACACACACACTGCTCTTGCCTCAGAGGAAAAGAAAAGTTAGATTCTCTCATGAAATGCCTTTTATTGTTTCCCCAGAAGGCATGGGTTGTACGCCTTTGAAAACGCCCGCATTCACACACATACACACACAGACACACACAGACAGCGGGTACAATGCCTCGATGGCGTTTTTGTGTACCCGCTCTGGGTTGCTGAAATAAAAGCATTAGAACTTTTCCCTTAAAAACTACGCGCTTCTGTGCGTTAATTTCTAGAACAGGATAAGGCAGAAAGACGAGATTGAGCTTGTCATTAGGAGTTCACAGCCTGCATGCTTGTATGAAGGTTTGTTTTGTTTTGTGTTCACTTCCTTGTGTGGGTTCTGCACGCATACGTGTGTGTGTGTGTCTCTGTGTCTCCTCTCTCCCACGCTCAAGCTCCTAACGATGGCAAATGTGCCTGTGTGTTTGCGAGGCGTTGTTTCTCAAAAACAACAACACATCCAGGAACGGCTCGTTTTGTCGGGGTTTTGTGGAAGGAACACGCTCTAATTAGAGGGGCCCTATGAAGGTGCATCAAACAGATCTTTGTCAAAGACCAACCTGCTCATGGCTCTCACACGGCGCACACATGCCACCTCTGATTATTGGAGAAATGTCTGTGTTATTTAACTATATCGCGGCATATTAACAGCCTTGTCAGTTTAGATTTGCTGCACGTCTGATCCTAATCCATGTGTACGCTCCCCGACACACATTAACATGTTTAAAAAAAGTGTCTGCTACAGGTGTTGCTTTGTGGCCACTTGGGCATGTTTGTGTGTGGGTGGTTCATGACCAAAAGCCCTTTTCACAAAGTACACATGCACACACACATGCACATAAACACACACAATTCACTTCTCTATCTCTGCGTGTGTTTACTTTAGTTTCCTGCCTTGTTTGTTCACTCAGATGGGAGCAGGCTTTTTGCTCAAACTGCCCAGGTCACTTTTGTTCAATCTGTGTGTTGTCTTGCCCCCCCCTCCTGCCTCTCAGGTGCCAGTGATGATGGTGGAATCAGCCTCTGAGACCATTCGAACGACGCCGTCCAACCAGAACGGAGTCAGCAGCCTCAGCAGCCAGTCAGATGGAGGGGGAGGTAGAGAGGGCGGGTCTAACGGAGACACCAACGGAGAGATCAGCCCTGTCGATTTACTACACCTGCAACAGCAACAGGTGTGTTAAAGTGTGCGTGCGTGCGTGCGTGCTTGCGTGCTTGCGTGCGTGCGTGCGTGCGTGCGTGCGTGCGTGTGTGTGTGATCGTTCTTGTTTTTGGGTGTGATTGACATTATAGATCTACCTGTATATACGTGCTTGTATGACTTGCTTTGCAACACCTCCCATTTGTGCAACTCATGCGCATATGTACGGTACATTGTCTAGAACAGCATGTACACACCAGGCCGTTACATAATGTGCAGATGTGACAACACGCAGTCGGCCAGACTCTGGTAATTGTCAGCCATGCATGTGTGAACGGTGAAAAGCTCTGACAAGTTGGCTCGTCGGTGCTTTAATTATCCACCGTTCATAATGTGCCAACTAATTCCACTGGGACAAAGTTCACCATAATAATTCATACACATGAGGTTCCCACTGATATATTATTACACGTTACTGGCTGAGAAAAAAAAATTACATACCTGCCGTCTAAGCTCTGGCTAGGTGAGAGTGAAGCCATTTTGTCCCATTGTCGGGTCAGACATATACTCTCACATTCTCACAATGGCATGCAAACACACACTCGATATAGGACTGGGATGCTCAGAGTGTGTGTGGGAGAGACATATTTTTTTTCAGTGATCCATGAAGTGGTGTTTGTGTGTGTTTGACACGTCAGCGTGCAGTGTCTCGAGTTATGCTATTTATCTTGCCTCCTGAGCGTCAGTTCCCCCTCCATACACACACTTTCATCGCTCCATATACACACAGACACAGACACAGACACACACACACACACACACACACACACACACACACACACACACACACACACACACACACACACTGGCCACTGTGTCAAATGGAATTTCCAAACTTCCCGGAACTTCTTGGAAGAAATTCTACATTTTTATTTCCCATTCCCCTAAAAAATCCACATAGTTCTTTTCTGATTACTCTCACATAGTACACACACACACACACACACACACACACACACACACACACACACACACACACACACACACACACACACACAGCATTTGAAAATGTTTTTTCATCCAGATAGATTATATTAGATTAGTCATTTGTCCATAACCGCACACATGAATGTCCGCTGAGTGCTGTCATCTAATGATGGAAATTCATTCACTGATTCATGTTTTTTAGTCAGTGATGTGGCATTTGCTTCAACTGATGAAGAGATTGGAAGAGAAGAAATTCTCCTGTTTATGTACTGGCTGTATAAGCATGTAGTAATATATATATCTCCAGCTCTCGTTCTGTGTGTTCGTTCGTGTGTGTTTGCATGAGTGTGTTGTGTCTGCTCCATCACAGAGAGTCAGTGTGGGTTCTGGGCTCTCCGACACCAGCTGAGTTTGTAGTTGAGGAAACCCAGGGGAAAAAAATCAGGGTTTCCTCCCTGCTGCTAAAATTATTCCCCCTAATTATAATGATGGAGCCGTAGGTGAATGAAGAACACTCAAGGCCCTTCACTCCTGTCCTGCTCTCCCTCCTCCTTTCTCTGACTGCATCCTCACCCTGCTTCCTCAGCAACCTTCATCCGAGAACACACACACACACACACACACACAGCCATGCACAAATGCACACACATAAACACCAAACCTGTAGCTCATACAAAGCAGGTCTTTATTCTCTCGGACGTGTCTCTGCTCTCTATGTTTTTGCACCTGTGTGTGTGTATACGTGTGTATGTGTGTGCGCACGCTGGTATTTCCTCTCTTGAGCGGGTTACCAACCACAAACATACCTTCCTCTCTCTTTCCATCTTTTTCTCTTCCTCTCCCTCCCTGTACTTCTTTTTCCTTCTATCCACTGTGGACCATGAAAGACAAGCACAACCTTTCCTCCAGATCCCAACCTTCGCCTCATAAAAAACTGTTACATCCATATATGTAGCAGTAAATACACAGCCATTTATTGTAGCAATTCTCTAGCTAGAGCTTTCTGTTAAGTTCAATGTGTGAGTTGTCATGAGGCGGAGGTGTGTCCTTCCTGTCCTATGGACATTTTTCTCTAACTCTGGCACTGTTGGGCTTTGTGCCACTACATCCCTTTGCTAGTTTATGGCTGTTTTACTGTACAGTTGAGTGGTAAGTAAGCATATGATAAAGCATATGAGTGATTCATGTTTTTTTGGTCAGTTTTCTGGATATATTTCCTCTGCAGTTACACAAACAGTATATTGTAGTATATTATAGATGACTCCAGTGTAGAATTGTCAATAAGAAGTTTATTAATTCAACAATCTTCCAAAATCAACAATCTTCCAAATATCTTCTTCAGAAACTTGGATTTTCTCCTTATTTTACATTTCCACGTTGGAAGTAAGGTAGTTGCTCTGTGTGTGTGTGTGTGTGTGTGTGTGTGTGTGTGTGTGTGTGTGTGTGTGTGTGTGTGTGTGTGTGTCCCTGTCATCTCTACTCAATAAAACCAGATTGATTGCCGTCACACACCTCTCTACTCCACCCTCTCAACCCACTGGATAGGATGGAAGTTCCGTGCCAGTGAGCACTGTAGGGTGGCTGTTCTGATATCAAAGCTGATTTTTCTTTATCCGTCTCTTTCTTTTCTCACTTTTCTTATCCATTAACACAATTTCAATAATACATATATTGTATATTACATATACATTTAATTAGCTTAAATTCAACGACTTAAAAAAGTTTCAAAATATGAGAGTGGAATTGATTGTGTTGTGTGTCCACTCAATTAATAGAGACCATGCTTTATAACAGAACATGGAAAAATCTTTTATCACATCCTCATAAAAACAAATAGTTTACTTCCTGTTTCTCATTTCAATTTCAACTATTTCAATCAGAGATTGACCAGTTTTGTAAAATGGTATTCATACATTCCCTTTTCTGTAACTTTCTCTGTCCATAAGATCTCTTGCTTTTTTTTTTTTTTAAATCAAGCTTTGGTGTAGAAGTGCACAGAGATCATAGAGGCTATTTTTTTAGCTTGTGCCCACCACTTATAAAATCAATGTTGACTGATACAGACAGCCCCTATACTGACACTGGTTACCTGACAACATTGTATAAGAAACTGCTCTCATGTTTCAACCTGAAAGTCTTGGATAAACTTCCTCCTCCTCCTCCTCCTCCTCCTCCTCCTCTTCCTCCTCTTCCTCCTCTTCCTCCTCTTGTTTCTTTCTCCTCCACGCTTGAGTCTCTCACCTGAAGGTGTAGTGCAGACTAGTGTTGGTGCTTAAACACCAGTGCCAGTGCGCATTGGAGCAGAAAAGACACACACACACACACACACACACAGAACTCCTGACAGCACGGTGTTGTCAGAACACAAAGCCGTCTTTTCCTTGGGCCCCTTGGGAACCTGAGAGAAATCACAGCCATCTCAAGCCGTCAAACCCACTGGCCTCTCTCAGTCTTCTGTCTCTCTCTCAGTGTGTCCATCTTTCTCTGACTCTGTCCTTCCCTCTCTCCATTTTTTTGTTTTTCTCATAGATAGATAGATAGATAGATAGATAGATAGATAGATAGATAGATAGATAGATAGATAGATAGATAAAATAGGGTGACAGGTAGATGATGAACAGTGAATGGAGATGAGCGATTGGGAAGATAGGACATACAGTCAGAGAGAACTGAGGTAATAGGAGGGGCAAAGAGGGAGCACATTGGGGGTAGGGGTGGCGGGGGGCATTGGTGGGGTGGAGAGGAGGAACAGAGGGATGAGGGAGGGGTGTAACGCTGAGACGTGTCAGAAAAGGGCGCCTGGGCCTCCCTGTGGAATGTGGCCTGTCTGCCTCCCCAGAAAGAACAGAGCAGGAGAGAGGGAAGAGAGAGGGAAGAAAGGGAAGAGGGGGCGAAGACCAGTTCTGCCCCATCATTGAGGGGAGAGAAGAGGGAGGGAGGAGAGGGAGGGAAAACAAAGCAGGAGTTATAGGGCGAGAGGAAGGAGAGGTGGAAAAGTGAGAGTGCAGTGGAGAGTGTATGGCACTTTGTTGAGGTGCCGGGCACGGGTGTAGACATGAAATGATGCATAGCAGAGGAGAAATGTAAGCAGGATAAATCCTAACAAACCTCAAAGTGTGTGTCTATGTGTGTGTGTGTGTGGCTGGGTGGAGGGTGCTCTGACGAGAACCAGGTGTCTTCAATTCTTTCCTTTTCTTTACGTCTCTCACCCCCCCTTTTTTTTTCTTTTTGCAGATGTGAGTCTGCACTGAGAGCACGGTCTCTCCCCCTCTCCCCTCTGTTCTCACCCGTTTCTGTCTCGTCCTCTTCGCTTTTCCCTCACCATCAATTAATCGCCTCTGGTGTTCTAGCATGCTACAGTGGTCGTGGCTGGTGATGACATGAAGAGGAGAGGGGAAAGTAGGCGGGAGAAGAAAGAGAGAGAGATGGTGACAAAAAGGTGCCGTTTCCTCTTAGGAGTGCCACTCATCGGTCGGCTTAGCCAGCCAGGGAGGTTTTTTTTCCTCTTTCTCTCTGTCCTTTTCTCTATCTATTGCCCTTAACTTGCTCTTACGTGCAAATAGAAAGTGAGAGGCAGATTGTAGCGGTCTCCCTTCCCCATGGGTTTAAAAGGAACATTGGTTGAGAAAAAGGCAGTTTTAGAAATTGGTTTGGAGCTTCGATCCCCACTCCCATTTGTCATAATCTATTTTTTCCTCAGTGCTTCCCTCTTTTTTTTGCTCTCTCAAATGCACACACAATCTTTGTTTCTTTCCCTCTCTCATATACACGCAGGCAGTTACACACATGCACAGAGCTGATGTGAGTTAATGAAGGGTGTAATTAAGGAGCCACAGTGATGACTGGAGATCAGGGGGAACCGATACAGATCTCAGATATACACAAACACTGATGAAAGATAGCTGTTTTGTGTGTATGCACGTGTGCAAGAGTGCGCATTTGGGTTTGATGCCAGGAGTGTTTTTGTGGACAGATGTGTGAGATTGTTGCGTGTGTTAACAGACAATGAGAGACGCTGGATGATTCAGATAATGTATGGCTTCCTGT